CGCCAGTGCATCCGATGGTGTTTACTAAGAAAGGTTCAAAGCCAAAAGCTACATTTCTTGATGCAATAGAATTTTGTGAGGATTGAGCACAGGAATTTGTATATATGTGTATTTCTTTATTTTCTCTTTTGTGGGGGAATGTCAGAAAAAAATAAAATAAAAGGGGCGGTGCCGCCCCACATGCACCGCCCGATTGCCAAGTATTAAAAAATAAATAAATAAATAAATAAAATAAAAAAAAATAAAATATTGCAAATTGAATTGCAATTGTCAGATTTGATTCCTTCATTCGCCTATAAATAGGCATACTCGGCAGAAGGAGAAAAGACACCAAAGAAGAAGAGAAAAATAGAGAAAAGAAAGAGAAAGGAAAGAAAAGATAGATTTATGTCCAAATATCGGATATAAAAATATCAAAAGAGAGAAACAAGTTATAATTTTTATTTGTTTTAGGAAATCCCTTTTATTTTTAAGTGCTCAATTCTCGATTCCGTTCCCGTTCGCCGGAGCTCGTAAATCTGGTGTGCTACAGATTTAGAGACGTTTGCCGTTGTATCTTTGGGGAAGTTACGCCTGAACCGTTAGCTGCCACACGGGGCGTATTCTTCTTGCGGAAAGAGTTTTACTCGCCTCGGCTAAAATCTTTCCGTTTTTTCAGTTGTAATTTATTTTTTCAGTTCAATTGTAATTTTCTATTTTAGATTATTTGTAAGAACTGAAAAATTACATATCAGTTCGTAGGATTCCCGTGTAATTTTGACACCAAATTTCCAACAAAATGAACCAAAAAAATTGAATCTTTGATTCAGGAAAAAACAGAAGCGGAAAAAAAGGAGAAACCAAGAAAACGAAATGGTGGCAATCTCACTGTACAAAGGCAGCCTACACCAAACTTTTATTCATTGCAAATATATTAAATTATTTTATATAACAGCCATTAAATATCACTTTCAATATATTTATATATATAAAATACATAAAATTTCTGATGCATTCAAATTTAAATATTTTTTTATGGGCTCAATTTTAAATCATCCAGACATTTAGTCCAACGCATAGGTGTGTTCAAATTTAAATCATTGACATTTTGTTTGGTTGAAATTTAAATCATCTCTCATGTTACTGTGATGTGTATAATCCTCCCTATATATTATTCCCGAATGCGCTGAGCCTACGTGGCTGCTTCTAGTGCTTCGGAATCCTACTTGACAAAGAATCATGCTTCGTAATTAGGTTTGGACAAATAATATTGATATATCAATAATTGATAATTTAGGTTTGGACATTCCATAAATATTATTTAGCTACCTTAGGTATTTTAATATCACTTGTACTAATATAACCCTTTATTTCTTTGTAATTTTACATATTGAGGCACTAAGTGACTAATATATCCTTTAGGTATTTTAATATCACTTGTACTAATATAACTCTTTATTTCTTTGTAATTTTACATACTGAGGCACTGAGTGACTAATATATCCCTAACTTTTGATTTGTTTCCTTCAGTTAGCTATTAAATTATAAATGTATTTTAAAGTTGATAACTTTTGTATTTCTTATCGGTTTTACATATATAATATATCAAATTAATCATCTTTTAATGATCTTCGATTTGACATCCATATTGTATATATGAAATAAATAAATTATATTGATCTTTATAATAATAAAAAATAATAATATTTATTAAAATTCATTAGAAAAATAAAATTATTTCTCAATTGATATATTTATGTTTAATGTAGTTATATGTTGTAAGTTTAAAAAATTATTATAATATAACACATGTAAGTTGCACAAATAAAAAATATCATACTAAATATATAATAATATATATTCTTATAAAAGATATTTAAATTTTCAACTATTTTTTCCCATTAATTTTAGATTTTAAGAAAAAATTAGCAAGCAACCGTGTAATACACGGGCGTTGTACTAGTATATATATATATATATATATATATACAATTTTTTAACAATTAATATGTGCTTTATAAAAATAATAATAATAATTTCACAAGATTTTAAACGTAAAATATGGTTCTTAATCAAAATAGAAAAATGATGGTAAGTTGTATTGAAAATGTGTTATGGGATAAAACAATTAAATAAAATAGAAATAGAATGCATTAATTACCTTTGACTTTTCTTACTACTAATTGGAAATAGAATGCATTAATTACTTTTGACTTTTCTTACTACAAATTCTAGTTAATATAATGGCTTTTTATATAAGTATAGATATATAAATTGTTATATTTATACGCATGTATAAACATTAAAAGTTGTGTATTTAAATTAGTAAAAAAATACTAAAGTACACTGAAATAAATTAAATAAATTTATAGCATCTAATTTCATAAAAAAATGTATTTCACGATATATATAAAATACTTTAGTATATTATCATACTACTTTTTAATTTAATTTAAGTTTTTTTAGACATATTTTTCATGAATATTTCATAACTTTTTTGTGGTGATTTCACACATTATTTCAAAATTTTAGAACATATTAGATGCTTTTACATGTGTTATATGATAGTTTAGTTTTATTTTAATATTTTAAATAGACTTTTTTTTGTCCAGTTGTTATTCGTATAAATAGTAAATTATTTATTTAACAATTGTAGTATAATTAATTATCAGGATTAAAATAAATAGATAAGAATAGAGAACTTTATAGTGAAAAGATGATAGTTACCTATCATTTATGAATTATCTAGAGTTAAAATGGCGTACATATAAGTTTATTACTGTGAAATAGAAAAATAAAAAAATCTCTCAAGACTCTTTCTTGCCATATAAGTCGTCAAAGGCGATGTGGTCGTGCTCGCACAGGCAAGATGATTTTGTGAAAGAGATGTGGTCGTGCTCGCATGATTTTGTGAAAGAGATATTTGATGATGTGATGATTACTGATTTACGATAAAAAA